GAAAAACTTTAATAAAGTTTTTCTTCATTACCCATTTAAGCCGTCTCCAGCCATTAAAAGCAAATAAATGAATGGTGGTCTATTTGATCCTGACATGGGCTAGTGGTTAACATGCTTGGTTTTTAATCTGTGGGTCATGGATTTAAATCCCATCACTTTTCTATTTATCTGTGGGGTTTCACTGGTAGAAAAGAGTTGGTGGTGTTGAACTGCTGTATTCCCTCTAGATTATCTCCTCTAAATTAGGGACAGATAGTCCTTGAGTAGCTTTGGGAGAAATTTATTTCTTGCCTTTATCCAGGGTTACTGATAAGGGGTGGATTTCCTGAAACTGGTATGTCTCTGTGGCTAGTGGTAAATTGAATGATACATTGGGCTTCACATTTATTTTTAATATTTTAAAATGGTTTGTTGACTGAATAATGTGTAAGAATAAATTTGTAGCATTAATACTACATATTCTTGAAATTCTTATTTAAATATAGGATTATTATAAGGTGATTTGATATGCTTGGTAAATAACACTATTAGGATTCAAGTGCCAATTTAGAGTTTGGTGGTGTATTACAAACTCTAGATTAGGCTTAGCAGATGTAACTCAACTTTTGCCACAACTTAGTTTATTGGTAAGTTATAAAACAAGCTACATATATTGTATTACTACATATCTACAGAATATTTATATTCCATTTCTTATTTTAAAGATAAACTTAATTACTTTAGTGAAAAGATAAGGTAGTGATAAAATAATTCAATATATTTAACTCTATGTTAGGCTTAATAGTGTTGTCAATAGGCTATTGTATATAGTGTTGATTACTTATTCCTAGGCTACTATGGTTAACAACATTCTAGGTGTTAAGCATTCAGAGTTTGAAAGGTGTAAGGAGTAGGTTTTTTGGTAACTTAGGATTGGCATGTGCTTTAAGGAAGCTAGTAATGAAGATGTGCAGTTTGTATGTAGAGTTACAGGTTGGAGGAGAAATTTGAAGCTATCCTAAATAGAGTAGATGTGATAAAGTGAAAGTTGTAAATGGCAGCAGGATTTCATGAGGAACTTAAGCTTTGGGACAATTAAATTAATGTGAGGTACTGGTCAAATGTGGAAAATTTGAAAAATAAGTTGAATATTGAAGAAAGGCACCATCTTTATTGAAGAAAAAAAGGGGTGGCTGCAAATAATAAACAAGGGTGGCGAATAAAAGAGTATAAAGGAAAAGATCATAGAAAAGTATTATAAATTTAAGAAGTTTAAATTGCTATGATAGGAGATTTAGAGAATTATAGAAGCTCAAGAGAACTGATTAAATGTGAAATTAAGAAATCGAAAAAAATTATGAAGAAAGGTTGGCTGGAAATGTAAAGATTAATAGTGAGGATTCCTTTAAATACATTAAGGATGGGCAAATTTTATATTTGGAGTAGATTCTTTGAGGGATGATTATGAGATGGCTGTGTTATTAAATTCTCCTTTTTTCTTCAGTTTTTTACTAATGAAGATTTAAACATTATTTCTCATTCTGAAACACTTGGTAGATGGAAACAAAATTGAACAGAATGATTATGTTAATTCTGAGCTTATTAAAAAAAATTGGAAAGTCTAAAGAATGATAAAGCTTTGGCCAGAAAATATTTCCCCAAGGGCTTTGAAAGAGGTTAAGGATTGGGTAAACGAGTCACTTGCACTATTTTTATTATTATTATTATAAGTCCTTGAATAGTGGGCAGGTGCCAGAAGATTGGTAGTTTGCTAATATTACTCCGTATTTCAAGGGAAGTGATAAAAATTGTCTCAGTAATTATAAACCTATTAGCCTTACATCAGTGGTGGGAAAGTCTGATAAACACTGCTTTCCAAAGCCATTTATCAAAGTTTAAATTTTGTTAGTCAGTGTAGTCTTGCTTGTCTAATTTACTGACAATATTTGAAGAGGTTACTGCTTATGTATTGAAGATATGGGATTGATTTGTGGTATCTGGATTTCCAGAAAGCATTTAACTATTATGGTAACACCTGGGTTGTCATAGGTGGACAGGATAAAAATCTCAGAAATTGTTTTCTTTAAAAAAAAAAAAAGAGTTAGAGGGAATTTTACTGAGATGTTTAAGATTGTTAAGGGAATTGAGTTGATGCATAATATTTTTTTGTACATAATGGAGCGAAAAGTGGGATTAGAGGATACAAAATGGCAGTGTAGGAGTCATCTTCAGCTAAGACAGCGTTATTTTTCTTACAGGGTGGTTAGTCTTTGAAGTGGGTTGCCTTTAGAAGTGGTGGATGTGGTTAATTTAAGGGAGTTGAAGGGAAAGCTTGATAAATATTTGAAAGATAAGGGCTGACTGGGGTGTTTTATTTTAAAGTTTAGTGAATGTACATAGTTCTAATGAAAGAAAAGAATTATGAGCGATAAACGGAAATGTTTCACTTAACTACGGAATCCATTTCAGGGATGCTCACAGTTTTCCATTTAACCAGATTTGTTCAATCAGTTGTTATCAAAGGTTAAAAAAGGGGGACCATATATTGGGAATTAATTCGAATGCAATAATGTCTTCACTTTATTTTGTAGCCAATAGGAGAAAAGGCCTTCTTTGAATACACAGGTTTTTACTCTCGTGTTTTGAAACTTGCACCGTTCTAGCAATACAAAACACTGTGATACGTGAAATCAGCGGAATTGTGTTTAAGTATATTATTACTTAACTATGTGAATTATTACCAACTTCCCAAAGAATATTTTAAACGAGTTCAATTATTCGTAAATAAGTTGATTATTACTACTAATAAATAGACACTATATTACGTGTGTAAGAAATGTATTAAAAATAAACGACCGAAAAACGTATAATATCAGTCAAAAATTTGCTTTTCTATAACTAAGGTACACAGTGGTTTCTTTCAATGCAGCAATACTTGAGGTATATTTAGTAGCGGAAAATAACACCTGAACTATACTTGATATGTCGTAAAAATATCGAGTGTAGTGGTTCTTAATTTTATTTATTTATTTTTTGCTGGACACCTTTACGAATTCAAGACACTTTTGCCAACCCCCTGTAGTCAGGTCTATATACGAGACTGGTCTTACAGTGTATAAAAAAAAACAGCACTGCCAAAAATAAGTATGCATGTATGAAGTTTTCAAATAAATTGTTTTCATTTATTCGAACATAGGTTTTTGAAATAAATATGAAACCCTATTTTTTGCCATCTCCGATTTATTTAGGATGTGTACCGGCTTCTTATGAACCACAGTTCTAGAGTATAAAATTTTATAAGCATTAAAGTTTTTTAGAAAACCAAAATACTATTGCACGTGAACTGTTTAGGAGAACAAAGATTTACTTTGGTTTATTTGTTATGTTGATATAATTGTGACAGAAAAAAACCCGCTCACTATGTTAATTAAACACAACTTGAGACGTGTTGGATCCATTTGTAATTTCTTGAGGAAACTATAATTTTTACTGTGACGAGTAAGCTAATCTTATCAGAAGCTTTAGGAAGAAAAGTATGTCCTCGAATTATAAGTAACAGCGGATCAAACTTTAGGATTACTTAGTATCCTAATATATGTTTATGTTGAGAGAAGTCAAATTTCGCTTTTACAAGCCCCTTAATGTATATTCGTAAAACACATCATTTTAATGTTACAGAATGTCATGCCGTATTTGAAATTATCTTGT